TTTACAGAACATCCATTTGTTCATTTCACCAGCTTTTCCCCCGCTTTTACGGGAGGTGAAAATGTGGTGAGTTTCAGCAGCTGTGGACCTGTTCATATCACATGTATTCATCTTACAAGTCAGTGTAGAGCGTGTTTTTAAGTGCAAATCCTCATCACACGATAGTTGCTTCTCACTTTCCAGCACCAAACTGCCTCCTCACTGTAACAGGGTTCAGAGAAAGGAGAGCTGCCTCCCACGAACAAAACCACTTTATTCGTCGAACCAGTACACCCTAAACGTGGCAGGGTATGTCCACATTGGGGATCCCACTGAAGGGGGTCGTATTTTGGGGCGCCTGAGGGAGGAGGGAGAGGTGTGTATGCCCTTGTGAGCAAACGCTTACGGTTGTTGATTTCTTTGGCTTTTTTCGTTTCTCGTGAGTTCATATATTCCCTCCCCTCGACGGCAGTTTTTCGGGAAAACTTGATGATTTCGAAGAAAAAACTCCGGAAAGGGTAGGGAAGTGGGAGAACTTGAAAGGAGGGCAGAAAGGATGAGGGAATAGAAGATGTGTTGAACCGAAGGGGACAGTTTCGAGGGTATCCGGAAAGTTTCTCCACGGCAGGAGGTGCCTTGGCCGGTGAGCAGCAGCAGCGCTCCAGGGAGAACTGTGGGGCGCGACCGCACGAGTTTGTAGATCTTTTTTTGCCATTAAGATTTCAATCGTTGCTTAGTGGTTTTCTGTCGATGGATTTCTTTCTAAAATTCCTGTTATGTTCTTGATAAAGCTCTCTGGTTATTTCAGCTATCATACCGTAGAAATCTTGTTTTAGACCCTTGCGAACCTGTCTTCTAGTCACAACTGAGCGATTTTCAGCGTTTATGGTTCATTTGACTATACTGTTTGGTCTTCTAATAGCGCTGGGTGTTAAGATGATGAATGGTTTGGTTTAGATGTGTTATTCAGCAATATGCTTCGTTTGTATTTCTGTTCTGCGAATTTTTTGGCGTTGAGGTTTGCGAGTTGGCATTTTTCGATGTAGTTTCGAGCCACAAGTGTCTCATGTTATTGTGTTATTCTTAGTCTAGTATTAGTTTACTAGTATTTATTGTAATCTTGTATTCCGTACATCCGACTCTTTTGGAAACCAAATTGATAGGACTCTCCTATTTACTTATGTATTTGACTTTTTGATTGCCAAGGAGAACCACTACCTTTGTCCGAAAGTGGTTCTTTCAAACCAGTTCTGGAGCTTATACGCTTGGCAGTTCTGGTTTTTGCGATATTCTTAAGAACTCTATGACTTTCAGGAATGGATGGCGAAGAACAAGATGCCAGAGTAACAGCTCTGAATGGTTATGATTGGCCAGTCGCCCTTCCGAAAAACATTCACGAAGCCGACCTTCCTATGAGAGATATATCTTTCCAAGCTGTGTGGACTGTGTCAAGCTGCAAATCCGGTGAGCCTTTTGAATTCAGAAAAGAAAGAGCGACTGGAGTGCTTTCATACTTAGCGTCGGCACTTTTAGCGTACTGCGTAGCGCTCGAGCATCTTAGCGTTTTGAGCGATTAGGCAATTATAGATATCAATCCAGCCGTTTTAAATGTTTCCAAAACGCGTCGCCGCGCAAAACACTGTCGCGCCCAAAAGTATGAACGGCATTATGCTATGCGCGTGTGCGTGCGTTCTATCGTCGGTGATAAGTTAGTCGCCGTGATGTGGGCGCCGCATACGAGTCCTGCTGCGTCGTGCTCGTTGAAATTGTTAAAATGATCATCAAGCCATACTGTTTATGTTAATCCTGTACTGCTTGTCCCATTTTCCTATGATGATCAATGATTGTTTTTTCCGCATTCAAAAGTAAAGGGGTGTAAGACTGGTCCCACGTTATTTGTTCAAAATTACCGTAATTTTGTGGCCCTTTTCGGAACTTGTGAATACGCGGTCTTTGAGACTCATTTGTATGTCGGTAATGCAACTCCGGAATTGTCGCCCACCGCGCCGCCGCGCGAGACGCCGCGACGCGAGTTCTCGAGGCGCTGCGACTGTGCGCGGACGTGACCTGACCTGCCACGCATAGAATCGCCCGGGTCCCATTATTGTATGAACGCTGTTAGATTAGTTGCGAGGTTTGACAGCTCATTATTAGCTGTAGAACAGAGGCAGGCGTTCAATAAAGCGGTGCACTGTGGTCCACTGAAATATTTCCATTGACATTCTTTCGTTTGCAGCCAACATTCGGTTGAGAGAAGAAGACGAGGGAACCTCGCTTCACAATTCTTTCCCTCAAAGAAGTGAATTGATGTGGTGGAGTCATGCAGTTCATGGTAGAAGCGAGGTCCGAGTGGAATTGCTGCGAAAGCGGCACTGGAATAGAAGTGCCGTACTTTCCGACATGTGCTTGTTCTTATCGCTGAGTCGAAGCGTTTGCGCCAGAACAAGTCCGGTATATAGTTCTTTTCCTGGCACAGCGCTAGATGGCGATCACTTGGGTTTCTACGTTATTCAACAAATTTTCTGAAGATAGTGGACCTAGGACATTCCTGACTGAAGCGTGCATATCCCACTCCGGATCATGTGGACTGAACCAGGCCTACCCTGACTCAAAGGCGCGTCTATCCCATTTAGCGTCTTAAGAGGCAAAAGCAAAGAAGGCGCAATTGGTTGAGCCTGCTCCATTCGGACAGCGGTGGAATTAGTATTATATTTTGTAGAAGTATGGAGCTAATTTATGGTCTAGTTCACTGCAGACAAAGGGACGTGTCAAAATGGATGAATTTAGCGCGATGTCGAACCCGTTTTCCATCAGTTATTGAAGCGAGTAAGTGACAAGCCTGTATCATATTGTTCGTATTACTCGTTTTCTACTATTTGTTGTCGCATACTCACTTAACAACCGGCGGAAAACTGTTTGGCGCACGAGACACACTCATACTAGCTTGACACGCCCCTTCGCCTGCAGCGAACTAGAGTATACTTTCATCCCCGCGGAGATTCGAGCGATAACGAGCGTGCAAGTTTTGAACACAGGAACAGCTTTTTAGCTTTTTTTGTAATTTCTGATTTTCTGAAATGTTTTCCAGTTGTTATTCTCGCTCGAAGAACACAGGTTAAATAAGAGCATTTGCGGCGAAGGTGGGCTGTATACCACAGAAAAAGGGTTTTCAAGAAATACGTTGATAGCTTGCCGACAACCTGTTTCAAGTTCAGTTAGAAATGGGGCAAGTTATTGTAGTGCCAAGATAAATCTTTTTCTCACGGTTTTCATGAGCAGTTAAAATCAGTATTTTTTTTCTCTTTTTATAGGTTGTGTCCATCGAATCACTACGAAAATCTGACCTTACAAAAATGACATTTTTATGGCCACCAACTCAGCTATGAGTAAAGTTCGTTGTTGTTTCAGAAGGTAATGGCATTCACGAGCTGCTTCATGACAGTGTCGAGAAGTACTGGCAAAGTGATGGACCTCAACCCCACACTGTTACGATAGAATTTCCACGGAAAACCGATATCTGCTTCGTTATGATGTACCTTGACTTCAAAAATGATGAATCCTACACACCAAGCAAGTGAGTTTGTACTGTTTTTGAGGTTCGCGAGTGCCGATCAAATCCCACAGCACAGAAAAAGCTATCCCAATACGTGCTACATGGCCGAGCTAGTTGACTAGGCTTACAATAGCTCTTTCGAATCGAATCGGGTCCTGTTATGAGCGCCGCGCACGTCGTCTGGAACTCGGCGCTGCCCCACATCGATTTCCTGCCCCACAATCAAGATTTATTATTCGTTTACACCACTTGTCTTAATCTCAGGATAGTCGTTTATCTGGGATCGTCCTTGATGCATCTTGATGATGGCTTACCTGTGGAGTTTAATGAACCAACTGGTTGGCAGGTGCGTCATACTATTTCTTCGAAATACTGATTGCATTATATCAAAGTTTTTTCATGTTTACTGAACTTTGAGACTTGGTAACTCTTTTCATGACCGTTATCTTTTTATAGCTCATCGATCTGCGATCCCGCCGAACGAATAGGCCATCTCGGGCTATGGTGGTGCAGATTCAAGTGGTGCATAACCACCAAAATGGTCGCGACACCCACATAAGGTTCGTTTTTCACAGCTTGAAAGGCAATGAGCACGACTGCTGAGGGCGGCGGTCGTCGCCAACGTCATTGGTGGAAGGGTAATGTGGCAAAACGCTCTCTAGCAGCCGATGACGCTGGCAACAACAGCTCGCCTCCAACAATGGTACCGTTGCCTTTGAAGGCACTTCACGCGATCAAGGGACCAGCGAAATGCCTCTGTGCATTTGGCATCGTTGTCCGCATTCGCAGAGAATATACCACTTTCGTCACTCGAAACGGCGAGATAAAGAAGCTAGAGACGCGTGAGTTTTGCAACCGGTGCAACCGCGTACTGTAACTCTGCAAGACAACTGCTTACAAGCGGAACTGCGTGTGTACGTAACGTTGCTTGTAGC